ACGATCGTTATCGATACTTCAAGTTAAATCGGCATGCCAAGTTCAAATTTTGAGCGCGTCATTTCGTTCAATTTCCATTTATATTCTTCGATGAGGCATGAATCCATTTTAGTTATGGGCAAAATATCAGGGATATATATATATATATATATATATATATATATATATATAGAGAGAGAGAGAGAGAGAGAGAGAGTGAGAGAGTGAGTGAGTGAGATAGAGAGCGGATAGGAGAAGATGCCGTTTAAGGGAGAAGTCACTAACTTAAAATAACATTTAACGACAATACGCAAATAAGTAAAATATTTCAGAGTATATATGTAAAATCAAAAACAAAAACCAGTGAACATATAGGGGATTCCACATAAAGAAATACAAAGTTAAATAAATATATAAAGGCTGGCTACCTTAAATAAATGTTCAAATAATAACATGATGAAAGAGGCTAATGCAGAAAGAAAAGATTTTAGTGGATAAATACCGTCGAGATGATATCGTTGGGGTTGGGTAAGATATAAACCGTGTGATTTATCACATTGCTTTTACTATGCCGTTCGGGTCTTAACTAAGGGAGAACATGAAGTGGCCAATAAACGTGACTAACCGAAAAAGGACCGAAAACTGAAAAAAGGGACAAACATAGGGGAAGTACTAAGATATTAATTATGGAAGATTAGGTTTATAATTGTATTTTATTTATTTTTCTCTATTATTTAAGTTTGGGTATATATATATATATATATATATATATATATATATATATATATATATATATATATATATATATATATATATATATGTGTATATATGGGTATGTGCATGTGTGCATGTGTATGCGTGTATATGTATGTGAAAAGTGTGTGTATATGGATATAGATGAATATGTGTATGTGTGGATATCTGAATATATTTTTTTATGTGTGTACATGGATATATGTATGTGTGTATGTGGGTACACGCCTATGTGTATGTATATACATGTACATGTTATTGTGTGTATTCGCATATGTTTTTGAACATAGAAATATAGGTCCTTGCTGGATTAGATAATCGTTATATTTATCTTTATATATTTATATTTGATTTGTAACCTGTAGTCGATATTAAATTTGTCAAATTTTCTCAATTACAAAGCGGCCCTTAAAGTAAACGCAATTTTACTTTCCTTTGTCCCATCTCTCTCCCCCACCTCGTCTTTCCCTCCCTCTTATTCTAACATTAGATTGTCTATGGTGTGTGTATGACACCACGAAATGTATCTTTATGCATTAGACATCCGTAAACATTCATTTTTTTCTCTTAATTAAACCCCTTCCACCCATCTCTCCTAAAATTCTCTCTGTTAAGGTTTAATCTCCCCCCTCCTCATACTTACACTCTCTCTAAATTCTGTTTTTATTTCCGGAGTTGGTTTTTTTCTGTTTTCATTTTGAATTTGTAGGTCTGATGAATTGGATCGTATTTACGATTCCAATGGAATAAATTATGACCATGGAATATTAGTGTTTAAGCCTTTCTTATTATATCCTTACTCTGTCCTAGACATTGAGTTCTACCTGGATTCTATCCTCTTGGAATTTTTTATTCAAAAAATATACAGGTATGGGTATTTATATATTTTGCATATGTATGTATATTTTCCACTAATATTATCTATCTCTTCTTCTCTCTCTCTCTCTCTCTCTCTCTCTCTATATATATATATATATATATATATATATATATATATATATATATATATATATATATATATTTGTATATTTAGGCAGCAATCCTTCCTTTATCCACTTGCAAAAAAAGACTAAAAATAATGGAAGCTCTAATAATAAAAAAAGAAAAAAGCCAACCCTTAACAATATTAACTATGAACAAAGCCACAGAAAACTAACTGTATTCGAAACTAAAACATCACTACCACACACTGAACATAAACAGAAGAACACACACTCTACTAAGCTGATAATTGAATCATCCTTGATAATGGCTAAAAGGTATAGTCGAAAGCGCTCGGAAACACAGAACATTCGGACAGTTCTTACACACTCTTTGTCCAGAAAAAAAAGCTCTTGTCAGAACATAAGAAAAATTAAATAAAAGCTCAACCATGTAGTACCTTGTCTATCGTTTTTAATGAAAAATATATATATATATATATATATATATATATATATATATATATATATATATAATATTTATTTAAAAAATTATAACATATGTATGTTAAATCATCACTACAATAATAGATATTTTGTTTCAGCACTTCGAATGTCTTGTCAAGTGGTTGTGTTTCAAGTAAAATAAAGAGTTCAAAAACTAACCATTACCCCCCTCTAAGGGAAAAATCGTACGTAAGATGTCATGACCAATCAAATTACAATCATATGATAATTCAAATAACTCAACAACGGGCTTTAGATATGAATTATTAATGCTTTAAAATAAGTAATAGATTTTTAGGTAATCAGGATAAACAGTTAATCTCCAATTTTTTGTAATTAAAAAATAAATTTACGCATATTAAGCTCTAAATGAAGCCATGTATCACGTTTAGAAATTAACAAAAATATTCATAGAAAAAAAAACGGAGAAAATATGTGTAAACTTTCATGTATTGTTCTTAGAAATGGGTTAATTTTTTCGTCCGAAACTAAGCGGTGGTAAAATGTACAATATATGACTACGTAGTTAGTTACAATGATAAGGTAGTGATGATAGGTTTAGTTGATAAGAGGGAAAGGTTTATTTGTGGTTAGACATACAGACATCATGTCATAATAAACAAATACATAAATGTGATTGAATATATGAACATGCAAATATACGAACGACAAATAGATTTATTGAAATTCAATCTTCCCACAGAACTACGGAGATAACTCAAACTATCGTCATTAGTCCACTGAATTTAGAATCAGTGCTAACTCTTCTAATGATAAGGTCTTCAATAGGCATAGAGAATTTTATAACTCCGCCCTGAATAGCAGTGGTTATAGAGGGCCCAATATTAAATATAGAAATACGCTTAATATTGACCATAATAAAAAGCGAAGATCCAGAAAGGTCATTTGATTCATCCCCACCTTTCAGCATCATGGTTAAAACTAAATTAGGATTAAAATTATTACATTTCGCTAATAGACATTTCAAAGACTTATCCTCCGATTCCAATTCTCACAAAAGCAAATCTATACTCAGATCAAGACAAATCAAAATGATTTCTTTTGCACTGGAAATGTGAATTTAACTCAGAGGTGGTGGAGAAATCTTTGAACGATTTATTCATTTAATTATTCACTTTTTTCTTCTTTACACACACACACACATACACACACACAGAAACGCACTTACGCGCATACACACATACGTGTGTGTGTGTATGTGTGTGTGTATGTGTGTGTGTACGCGCGTTCATAATCCTTGAAATTGTTGGAGATTTATATTTTCATCTCTGGTCAGTATTTAATTCTTGTAAAAAATCAACCGATTTTCGAATATTTATTTTAATGTAAGTCATCGACCCTGCTTCGATATATTAAATAAGTGGCTTTTTCCTCGCATATTGTTCAGTGTTTCACTAATACACACCTCAGGCAATATCGATCTGTGCATCTTTCTTTTACTCTCGATTTACTGTAATATAAGCATTTCATTAACTGTAAAAAGGCTTTTCTTGTACAATCATAAATACAGTGTAGAATTTACATTTTAAATGAAATTCCGTGTTATCATTAAACCAAGAAAAAAAAAAGTAGGGACCATCAAATTTTGAATTTAGAATTTATGGTCGAGTCCACTTGTGGAAATATCTCTTCCGAGTATTTTCATACTTTATAGAAACAAAAAAAAAAATATATATATTTGCTGAACGATCCGAGAAAATTTGGATGAAAATAAAAACTGCAGAAATGCAATGTGCGATTTTTTTGTCCATATTCCTTTTCATATTTATATTCATTTTTTTTACAACGTTTCTTAAATTATAGACATGGACGGATTATTATATTCAAGGTCTGAAAATTTCTGTTCAGCTCGAAAATGCCTGATTCTATATAAGGACATTTCCTCCTTTTTTTTTCGTTTTTTACCCTCATTGCTTTTATTCTAATTTTTCCATGAATTTTGTTCAGTTTTTTAATATATTTGTGAATTCACACCACATTAATTTCTTCGCCTTTTTCAATTTTTTTTTTTACTTTCTTTTTAATATTCTAATTTTTGTTGATTTTCTTTTTTGTTTTTATTTTTATTTAGTTTTCATTTTTCTTCTTCGCATCTCTTTTAATTATTTTTTTCTTCTTCGCATCTCTTTTAATTATTTTTTTCTTCTTCGCATCTCTTTTAATTATTTTTTCGTTTAAAATCCCTCTGTTATTTAATTGACAATTTTATTAAATTTTATCAATATTTTTTATTGGTGTAGTTTTACTATTTGTTAAAATTTATTCATTTATGTTTCCCTTTCGATTTTTAATTTTTAAAATTTTTAAAATTATTTTGCGAATTCATTTTCCTTCTGTTTGTATATTTCTATTTTGTATAGTCAGACATCTTTCTTTCATTTTTTTTCTTTAATTCTTTTTTCTTTCTTTCTTTTTCTTTCTTTCTCTCTTTCTTTCGTTCGCTTTTTTTTTTCTTTTTTCTCGCAAAAGATAGCATATTTATAAAAATGATACCCTTCTATCTTTTGCATAATTTTTATTTTATCTTCTTTTTTATTCAGCATGAATAGGATCCATTCTTCGATATTTGACTACTTTAAAATATGCGAACATTTCCGGTTAGAAAAACACTTCTCCAAGTAAACTTACTTTTGCTTAAAGTTAGACATGAAGACATAATTTGCTGTTAAGTTAAAATATTTTCTTCTTTCGTCATATATTTCATTTTTTAACTCTAAATATGAATTATGAATATTTATAGTTCATAATTTCCTTGCCAAAACTTCTGGATCCACGCTTGAATTTTCTTCATCTTTTTTCCATTTCTGTTCTATTTTTAAGGTTGTTTTCACTAACTTATTTATTCGCCATTTGTCTTTTAACCTTCTTCCTTATTTTTTTCATTGTTATCATCTTTCAATCTCATTCGTCAGTCTTTCTTCATTTTCTTCATGCTTTTATCTTTTTTTTTGTGATTTATCGTTATTCTCCCTTTTCCCTCTTCTATTGCTTGTCCATTCTTCTTTATCTTTCTGATGATTTAACATGCAATTTTAATTGCCTTACTTTTCTCTTCGGATATTTATTTTCGATTCTTGTATTTCTCGCCACCTTTTCATATTCTTTTATTTATAGCTTTTTAAAAGATTTTTCTTTTTATTTATCGTGCAAAGTTTGTTGCGTAACTATTTAAAAGCAACCCTCTAGTTTCCGCGTAAACTCGTCCATCAGACATCGAGGAAAATTTTCTAAGGCCTTTGGCAAAACGTTTACATCAAACACATGAATTACATAAAAATATAGCAGTAAATAGGTCTTTATCCAACGAGGACGGCACCATGTGTTCGCATGATCGGGAGGAAAATGACGTCTTCATTAAATGAAGAGAATAAAGTCATCAATATTTCAACCCCGTGTTTCTTTATCTAATGAATTATTTCACTTTTCGAAAAATCAAATGAATCAAAATATGTTGTCGTTTTTACCAATTACTTAGGGAAATGATTTCCTTTACCGGATGAGCAGTAATCACTCATTCTCACCATTTTCTGCTAAGAACGCGCGGATAATAAAGTAAACTAGGCGTTTCATTTGTTGACTAGATTCTTTCAGAAAATTAAAAAAAAAATGCTTTAAAAATTACTACTTTTTCAAAAAGTATTTATTACATTAAAACCATTTTAAATCAAATCAAATTTAAATCTTCAAAGTTCCCAAAAATGTAACTGGCACGAGGAAGTCATATCAGTTGAAACAACAGAGGTAAAGACAAAAACAAATATACTAATGGGGAAAATACACATACTTTACGTACAAAAATTTCAGACAATGTTTAGATGTCAAAGGGCATATCGTCCTAATCAATGAACTCATTAAGACAAAGAAAATGATTAATAATCATTGAAAACTTCGAACTCGAAAGACAGCCTTTTTGATGATAGAGACACAATATAATCGAAATATTCGTCACTCACGATCAGACACTCTGTTCGATTTTCCTGTCTGTGATTTTGCCGCCAGCCAGAAACGAGTAGCTGTCAATTTCTACAACTGAGAATTATTTTAAGTAAAACATAAATAATACGGGAGAGTATTTATTAAGAGTATATTCGTTGACGTCACAATGCCGACCAGCCACCATCTCCTTTGATCTATCTATCTATCTATCTATCTATCTATCTATCTATCTATCTATCTATCTATCTATCTATCTATCTATCTATCTATCTATCTAAATAAATAAATAAATATTCAATGAAGTCGTTATTATTACTATCTATCTATCTATCTATCTATCTAAATAAATATTCAAAGAAAGTCGTTATATATATATATATATATATATGTATGTATATTCGTATTTATATCTTTATAGATATCAATAGAAGATTTTTTTTCATCTTTCTTTATTGGAGAGTACACAGCCCACAATCCCGCGCCTGAATTTATTATGAATTCTGTATTTTATATTTTTAATCCTGAAAATGAGTTTTCCTTCTCCAACACTGGCAACCAGCCACGGCTAGAGATCTCAGTCTGCCATGTTATTTAGACCATAGCTGGGTTAAGAAGAGATGGATTAATCCTTTTTTCGAAGTGCCTTTGTACATAACGGAATATTACGAAGTCGACTGGAATTCGAACTCGCCTCGTCAAGGTCCCTTTCTGATTCACTAAATCTTACACTCCCCACAAATTCCTAAGATTATTCATAACAATATTTGACATTCTCATTAATTTTCAAGAATAATTCCATATATAGAATGTCAATAGTATTTGTTCAATCTTAAATCATCGTGTCTTCCTACTGTGACCATGCGCAAGAGTTATTAAATAACAAGACAATTTCCCTGTAAACACAGTCATATGGTAACTTACCTATTCATTGATCTCGCTCCATCCTCATTTACTTTCTTATTATGATTACCTGAGTTAGACAGTCGCCTTGTACCTTTTCTCTCTTCGAAATAATCTTCAGTTTTTTTTTTCTATTTTAACCATGATTATCAGAACAAAAAGAAATTCTACAGAAGTCGTTGTAGAATCAAAAGGAAAACAAAAATGATTCATCTATTGGTCGAATAATAAGGCAAACATATTCACCAGAGAAAAAGCAATGAAGCGTATCTGCACTAAAAACAACTAAGAACTGACAATAGACAATTACGTCAAAAAATGTACCAACACAATCAATAACACCAAGCTCAATAAACTAAACCTACATAATCTTTGTGTGTGGGCATGCGCGTGTGGAGGGTGCAGAGAGATGAGATGATAGATGAAAGGGTTAATACGGGGACATTGGCAATGTGCATTCATTACTTTGGAATATATATGTAGATAGATTTTGATCACCATGGCAACAGGTTTCTATTGTCTATCAGGGAATTAATCTAGAAATCAATCGATTATTTTCAGTATTCATTTTTATCACTAAGTGTCTAATGAATATTTGCAAAGACAATTTGCTGTAGAGCGAAAGTTAGAGCGGTGTACTCGAAGTTCAAGGAGTATGTTCGATATCTAATCAAGGTTTGATTCTTGTGCCTGTGCACTTGGCAATATCATGACTAATGAAAAATATTCAGAGAACTGAATGATAAGTGTAGACCTTTGCTCTACTAAGTTAAAATCAATCAGTCAATCAATCTATCTATCTATAAAAAGTAAAATGTAAGCTATATAATGCAAAAATACTTATTGGTTTGACATTTGTATATAAGATGTGAAGAAGCAAACATGAGTATGATAAAAATATAGTTTTACGGCATTCTACATTTATGATCAAGACTCCTCAATATCAGAGATAGAGCGTAAGTAAATATAAACGTAGACATTGTTCTCAAAAACGAGTTAACAGAATCTGTTTGGCACTAAACACAGTGCCAATATTTTAAACAAAACAAAAGTAATTCTACGCAACCAACAAATAAAAACCTAAATTAATTAATGAAATAAATAATAAACTAATTAACAAATACACAAATAACTATCAAGGAAATTTAATAATAATAATAATAATAAACAGAGGATAAGGAACGCATACGCTAAGCAATTAATAATAAATAATAAGTTAATATAAAACTATTTTTTATAAACAGTAGATCTTAGAATAATTTAAAATATAAACGTTCCCGCCCATTGAATAAGCTTTATGTTAAAACAATAAACCAGGAATTTCTGACCTTGTTATCCATAATCCTTTATTGACAAGCATATATAAATTATCGGTCTATCACGCGGCAAACGTGGCCTGAAGATTTCGTTCAAGCATAAAACTGACTCTCACCACCCCGTTTACACATATCAATACAGTTTTAGTCTTATTTTAAATGACTGGCTCACATTTACAGGTACACACTTTGTTTTGCCTAGTAATGCTTACACACATACATAGAGATACATACGCACACACACACACACACACACACACACACATATATTGTGTATGTTTAGTCAGTAAATTTTATTAAAGACAGCAGACGTTTAGTGTCGATTAATTTTATTGATCGACATTTCAAAATAATTAAATTATATTAAATGACATAAAACAAACATTTATCAATAACTGGAGCCCTAATGACATCGTCGACAAAAAAATCAAATTTCACTTAAACAACAACAATTTTAACATAACCATAACCATAATATGGACAATAACACCATTAACATATATATCCAAAATCAAATGCACCATAATTACAAAAAAAAAGAAACAACAAAAACAAAACAAAAACGAAACAGTAATAAAATAAATCATACATAGATATATAAAACAAGTTGATGAAAACAAATATATCAGAATCATTATTTACTACAAAAAATTATAAAAGTATCAACCTAGTTATTAAAAATGATATCCTAAAATTCCAACCTATGCAAGACAAACGTTGGTTCTGAGTAGGTATGACCACTTGGAAAAGTTCCTTTGTAAATATTAATAACACAACGACTTACATTGGCTATAACACAACCACCCTCTCTTGGCGACCACACTGCCACCTATCGAACCAGTGTACCGTCAGATAACACATTATTAAGCGACATAAGGATCATAGTAACATTTGACAATTGCTAACAAAATACTAGCAAAGTCAAAACAGACTCGCACAAGGGCGAAAGTATGGGTGCACACAGTGAGGATCGAACTCACTATCCTGTTGTAATTAATCTAACGAGACTAACTTGTTAACCATTACACCACCTCGCGGTACCCCGCCCTTCTATAATGATGACTTGTGAATGTCGAAAGCTTGAACCATATTTCTTCAAAAATGAACTTTGGACAAGTTCTCGCAGAATTTTCTTCTTATCCGAGGAGGAAAGCACTACTTGTAATTTGGTAAAGTAGATCGAGCAATAAAATTAATCGGCACAAAATGTGTCTTTAATAACATTTGCCTTACAAGACACACACATACACACGTGTATATATATATATATATATATATATATATAGAGAGAGAGAGAGAGATATAAAGAGATAAATCGATTGTACTTTACCATGTGCCAAACTGCCTATACATTCCTTTGTAAAATATATAATCTGTAGAAATCTACACTTACACTTTTCACTTATCTTTGCAAAAAAAATGAAATAAAGAAAACAATCAGATGCAATCCACCCTGGGACTGGGTGTATGGAGGATAAGAGAAAAATGTAGAAATAAAGACTGATAGATAGATAGATAGATAGATAGATAGATAGATAGACTATGATTTTATAAAAGTATCGCCGTCAATCACATTCATCTAGAAAATAATTTCGATCGATCGGTAAAGTCCAGATTCCTCGTATCACTTACTAAGCCACTAGGCAAGAGATGAGTCACAAAGAAGTATAGAATTGCAGAGAAAAATAACAATCGAAAAGAATATGTGAATGAAAGGAATGTTTTCATAAATGTACGAAGAATACTTTGTCCGCCCCCGAACACACTAAAAAAAAAAAAAAAAAACGACAAGCATTTACCACGTTGCATCGTATTTCTATTTTTTCTTATTCATTTATGTTTGTTGCGCTTTAGTTGATTTCAAAAAGAAAGCGAACTGTTCAGCTTCAAATTCACTCCATGTGTTTCGAACGCATAGTTCTGCTTAATATGAAAGCATACCTCCATGTTTAGACATTTCGACTTGTAAGCGTGTTCATTTAACAACGCTTCGCCAAGAAATTCTTGATGTAGAAGTGATATTGTTGGTGTGTATGTATCTTTTCGCTGTCAATGGGGTTGTTGGTTGTATAGCAGTTTTAGATATGCTAGCCTATATAGGATATCAGAAAGAAAGAAATATAATATATATATATATATATATATATATATATATATATATATATATATATATATTTATATATATTTGTGTGTGTGTTCGTGTGTTATCCTGGTCTTCAGAATTACATACACAAACATATCTATCTAACGCATTCTCTCTCTCCCTCTTTCTATATATCAAGCAGGTAAATAATGAATAAAATATCGAGAGCAATATAGAGACATATACTTATATATATATATATATATATATATATATATATATATATATATATATATATATACGTTCATGTATATGCGAATATATAATAATTACAACGCGCAGATGTAAACTTTGTATGCAATTTAGCAGAATGGAAAACATATAAGAGAAAATTGGAAAAATTTTCCGTCAATAATCCGACATGGTCACAAAATAATTTTATTTGAAAATCGAAATGTAAAATATTGAAAAGAAGTCTTAAATACGTTATGAGCTTAGAAGTGTCATTTTAAAAATTAACGAACATTATAGAAATTAGAGTAGAAAAATTGTTAATATGACATGAACTGATATAATATAATTTTTATGACGATACAATTAATTTAAAAAAGAGACTATTAGCACTGTAAACAATTTAGTCCGTTAATTTTGATTTATGTTTTTTTTTTCAAATAATAATGTTTATTGGTAAGATCGGATTACTGACGGAACATTGGAAGTTACCAGTAAATATGTAAATAAAAATATGGAGAAAATAAGTTAAGCACAACCATACACAGGAAGATCGGCAGATAGATTTTAAGATCCACTGTTGAATTGATGAACCAAGTTTTCTTCAGGGGCGAAGGAAAACAATTATAATTAGAAAGATAATAGCGATAACTGAGATTGTGTAAAGTCAGAAATTCTATCGGTCAGTGGATGTCTGAAAAAAAAAACAATTTAGGCAACCAATCTTTGCAATAAAGTGCTCGAAATCAGAG